ACTTGGATATCAAGAATTATATACGCAAAAAAAAAGAAAAGAAGGCTATTAATACATTTTATAACAACAAAAAAGATAAACATGGGCGTTTAATAGCGTGGCAATTTCTCAATTTGCATCAACTCCGAGACTTTCGCTAGAGGTATCTGACACTAGACTAGATCTGACACGTCGCTAGACGTAGTGATGATACCATTTTTGATCCACACTTCCACTGATTTTTATTCCTAATTTCAATTTCAATTTGTATGTGCGGTATGTGCTCATAGACTGAGTTCCTACTGTAAACTAGTGTTAATTCGTGTTTTGTAATAAAAATGAGTGGTTTTCGTTTTATAGATATGTGATATGAATTTCATTATTAATTTTTTTGCGCGATCTTTAAGGAAAATACTTGGTGTTTTTTCATATTATACAATTTTATAAAGTTGCGGAACATATTCCCAAATTTAACATATGTCGCACGTATGCGCGATTTTTTTTTCCACAGATTTCTACGGAACACATCTACCGTGCAAAAAAAGTTTGGGGTATACCATATACATGTGCGTCACTTTTAAATTCCTTGATCACAATATATACCACCATAAGCACCAATTACGGCAGAGCAGATACGTTGGTCTGGTCCCAAAGACTTAATATTGTTCTATTGAAGAATACTGTGCAGCAGCAATTAAGGCACATCGAAAGAAATCCATTCACTAGAAGAGGGTAGATAAATTCGGATTTATATAATGTCCTAACTAAGCACGAGTTGTAGCTGCAGATGATAATCAGGGTATATAGAAAATTAATGTCCATAACATAAAGGTACATAACAGATAAAATTAATAATATATATAATATTTGTACTTAAAATATATATTTGTGCCTAATTTTTGGTTCCTTTTACATCCTACGCCATTTGACTGATTGACTCAAACTCACTTTTTGAACCGATCAAAGCTTTTCGCTGGAAAGTTTTCAACTTTCGCAATACCTTATTTAACATGTACGATGTAGAAGTTGGCTGAGATTCAAAGAAAGTTTCTTAATATAGCCTTCAACAATGCAACATCTGATGGGAATATTATAGTTGTAAACAAAGGTGTTGAGGGCCTTCCTGGGAACTGATCATTGTATTATCGAAATTATATGACATGTATGGATACCTCCGATATATGGATTCCATTAATTAAATTATTAAAATCATTTTTATAAAATGTTGTATTGTTCGCTTATGCTTCCCTTCATCACTTTTCGGTAACGTTAATTAGCATCATTCCTTAAAAATTGTTATTGTATTGTATTCCATTTTCTTCATTTCGTAAATTCCCTTTTCGACCATAAGCATTTACTTCTTATTACGTTCTATAAATTCATATTCAAAAATTAAAACTTTATTCAATTTAACGTTTGAACTTGGAAATTTTGCTTCTGGTTATTTGTTGAAAACACAAAGGTCCCAAATAATAATTATGGGGCGAACATTCGACAAAGTTATTATGTGTATGTGACGATTCCATTAAGGCTGAAAACAACTGGAGCCGACAAACTTTTTGGGCTATTGAATATTTTACGGCAATGGCAGAAAAAAGAACACACATACACACAAACACACACAAAGTAAACTATAAATCTACTATATGTACGCTGCTAAGAGTAGATAATGAACTAACAACTTCAACAATTGTAGGAAAGTACATAAAAATAGGAAAGAATAGATGGATAGTGTTAACAGCTCGATACTATCTTTACTATCTCTTTAAATGCCCTGAAAATTGAATAGACAGGAAAAAAAAAATTTATAAAATTTGCGGATATTTTTCAAAGAAAGCGTTTCCACTTGCAGCTTGCTTGATTACAGTGTTTGCAAGTACTTGATAAACATCAAAGTATTGGAAATCTAACGAGGTCACTTAACATTGTTAAAAGAAGAGTCCAAAGTGAATGGAAATTTTTCTTTCAAAAAGAAATTTAATTGATGACGTTCGAAAGCAAAGGAGAATTGAAAATATGTTAAATGTAACAAGGAAACGCAAGTTAACAAAGTGTTAAAAATTAAATGAAATGAAATTTAATATAATTTATTATGTTATATAGAATAATGAGCATAGCGACTAATTTACCAACACAGTAAGTTCTTCTGACGTAGGTATGTGTGGTAAAAGAACGTAATCGTTCGGTGAGATGATTGAATAAATTTTTGTGAACGTAGCATTATACGGACGTAAGTATGAAAGTAGACAAACCTTGGATATTCACCGCTTGAAGTAGATATGATATTTTTGATCGTTAACATGTATATATTGCAATTATTCTTGAAGATTAATTGCTTTTTCTATCCATTGCCTTGTTTTGAAATTTGAGTGCTATTGGAAGTGTTCCAAATCGTTTCTGTTTTAGATTGTGATTTCAGACTGATGGACTCATCGACAAATTCGGACTAAGACTAATTTCTTTCTGACCAACGGTTTGAAAATTTACCGAAAGAATGACAGTCAAAAAATGCTGGAGCGCGTGAGGAGAAAATCAGTTAAACGTACCCATAACACACGGGACAGCAATCTTCAGGACTAAGTATGAGAAAACATTCAATTGTTATTATAATTCAGTTTTCGGAAGGAACTCATCATTTGATTTAAACTTTCTTCCCTGAAGCATACTTTTCTCATTTATGAACAGATAGCAAACGCCAGGAGCCAGATCGAATGCTGTATTTAAACGGTGTATTTTTTTATCACAAAGTAACGTTTACAGACAAAAACAACGGCATGGTTCGGCAGTTAGCACTTTCTAAAAATAATATGCATTTTTTGTTAGAGGCGATATATCTATCTGCCAGTTCCGCGAATTACTGACCTATGCGTTATGCTTTTCGATGTGTAGTTATTATGTGCAATATAACTTATTGTTATCATCGATGAATTCAATGGGAAATTGTTTCAAAAGTACCGTTCCGGAGTCGAATTTTAAAAGGATTCGCTTGCATTGTTGTGTTGTATCTTTTTGTTTTCATTCTAAATTGAACGCTAGTTTCAGTTTACTTAATTAAACGAAAGGCTAGGAAAGCAGAACAAAATACTCATAGAGCATTTAGGCAAATCTTAAAAGTGTGCGTTGCCAACCTTTGATTATAATATATTAAATTCGAAGATCAATATTGTAAAAGCAAAACTACTCTACTACTCTAAGAACAAGCTCAACTTTCTTATAAGTTACAAAATCAAAATAAATGGATTTTTTATCCAGAGGTTACAGAAAGTTAAACTGAATTCGTAAAAAATACTTTCGGGTATTCTTTCTAAGTTTGTTTTTTTATCGATTTTCAAGAGAATTGTATTTAAGATCATACTTTTTACGTAGACTAAATTGGCAAGAAAATCGATATTTTTCAATTCTTATCGTCTTTGTTTATAACAAATATATAAAGAAATTTTTTCATTTATTGTCTAGAGATGCGTTCTAAAACCCTATAAAAATACATTCGCTCAATTTAATATACAACAAGATTTGGGGGTAGTTTAGCAAAACCTATTATCTCAGAATTTATGGGAGGACTTTTAATTCTTTTATGGGCGATTTCGAAGGTGTATGAGTAGGACGTGCATTAGTATCTTTTGTATAATGTAGCTCTGACATTTCATACGCAGTTTGTCATTTCATTTCTATTCGAGGTTCCGGCTTGCGGTTATGTAAGTCTGCTCTCCCATGGGTATGCATATTTATATAAATTGGATTTTAATAACTTTTGTAATATAGCCCCACGACGTGCTATTTCCTTCGTTACGTTGATCTAAATTTGAGCAATTCTTCGTTTTATTTTGATCTTGGTTTATTATGTTCTTTTTTCATTATTTATTCTATTCTGTGCTCAACATACAGGCCGCAATTTTTGAGATACGATTGATACAACTTCGTACAGTAGCGTGTTTTTTCCTCTATAATGAAATGGATAATTATAAGGTGATGTAAAGTGTTTAACGGTATGCCGCGACCCATTATAGTGTTTCTTTTTGTTTATATATATATATATATATATTTGTCATCAGTCTGAAGTTTTTCATCAGACGTATGAGAAAAGAACATACAAAAAAAATAAGTTTTTTGTGTTCTCGAATGAAGACGTGATCGTGCATAATTGACCCCGTGAAGACATAATTGTCCACTGCAATATTAAACAATTCAAAGAATTAATTTTCCCTTTACAAGCGCTTATTAATAAACGTGCACGTATGATTAAGCAATTGAAAGTACGCATGCTATGGTTTTCGCTGGCTATAGAAAATATCAAAAATTTTATTATTTATTGCTTAATGTAATGTTACGATAATAACATAGTTGGTATAAAATCTCTTGTGTGCATTTAGCTTCAGGAAATGATTTTGTCATCATATTTATTATAGAAACCGAATTTCAATAGTTCGAAGTATTCGGTGTGAATGTAAATTTATAAGATGTCACATTAAGAGCTTCTATTACTAAAACATAAGACTTGGTTTTAAAACTGCGATATATGAAGGATATAGCTCATAAGACTTTTAATTCTCTTCTCCTGAGTATGTCGCGACGAATATAAGCCTTATAGCGAAATTACAATATTCTTGTTATATATTACACATTGTACCAAATAATCGTATCTTCTCTAATTTAAATAAAAAAACAAATATATGAACCATATAACCTCTTACTGTTTGTGGCGATGGCAACAGCCAATTTCAATCATTTGTCAATTTTTAGTTTTTTAGCAATGATGACGGTTATTCGATTTGATTAATTTAGCTGGGTAAGTAGGAGGGTCTCTCTCGATTTAAAAATAATCAATATTCTAGAAGAATATCTCGAAGAATAGATTTACTTACTTTTGTAAATAAGTTATAAAGTGAATACAATTTCTGTTCATATATATATTCGAAAAATGAAAGGGACATATTAAGATAACAGAAATTCGACAGCCGTTTTTAAATCTATACACAATTTTAAAAAATTATATTTTTCATATATGAATTTATATAATCGATTTAATTTTCCGGTAGTTGATACTTGGATAGTAGTCGTTTAAAATATTTGTTCATCTCTTCAGTTAATCGCTCCCGATATTTTTCATCTCCTTCTATAATAAATCTATAAGGGTTGCGTGCATTCATTTCCATCTCTTGCGGGGTATACGAAGGTTGTACGATCATTTGGTCTATGACTGGCATTTGCGAGCTGTAGTAAGAATGTGTTACCATCGATTGCTTGTTAGGCTCTGGCGAAGCGTACGCAATTTTCATTTCTTTGAAAGGAAGCTTTTCCGTTGATTGGGAAGATTGCATTGGCGTTTCGCTTAGAGGAGGATTTGGGCCGATTTTCATTTCTTTCATAACAGGTTTTGGGGCATCTTCTCTTGGTATGTTATTTCCCTCGCGGCTTTGATTTGATTCTTCGCCATTGTTACTTTTAGAGAGGTTTTCCGTCTCACCATTAAGCTTGTCGTCGTTGGCGTTATGATTTCGATTATCTCCGCTTTCACTATTATTATCTCTTCTTTCTTGTTTATTCACATTTTCTCTGTTTTCATTTTTTTCTTTTTTCTCACCGCTTTCCCGTTCCTCACCTATGTTCTCATCTTCCTTATTTTCGCTGTCATCGTTTTCTTCATTATCATTTGCTTCTTGCTCATTTGCATCGATCTCATTACCTTCTTCTTTTTCATCAGGGCTATCTTCTTTGTTCTCATTGTCTTCTGAATTCTGTTGGCCATTCTGATCGTTCTCGGGGTCACTGTCACCGTTTTCGTTTGTTTCTTGTTCCTGATCGCCTTCTGTTTGCTCATCGTTCTTCTCATCGTCAGTATTTTCGTTGTTATTGTTATCTTCGGAGTTAGAGTTCTTATCACCCACATTATCATTTTTTTTACCATTTTCTTGTTGTTCATTTATATCGCTCTTATTACTCCCTTTTTCATCATCTTTGCTATTGTCTTCGAAAAGAAAAGAAAAAAGGGAAAATATTTACTCTTCGCATACAGACTATTTTCAAAAAAATATCCTATATATAACATAACATCCTGCCAAAAAAAGTATCCCGCATAAGGCTAAATTAGTAACGAATAGCTTGATCGTTATTTATATTATGAATAACTGCTTTACGACATTAAAATGATTAAACTTTTAATAAGAAATGAGTCAATAAACGACAAAAAGCGACCTCTACAAATCGTATAGATATAATTATTATTATTAAACCTGAATTTCTTAAATTTGGTAAAGCGGAATTTTTTTTTCAATCAATCTCTTAGTTGGCGCCTAAGCCTGCTCTAAATATTATATAATAATAATGATGATGTAAAATTTTTTATTATATTATTGAATGAAAATAAATTAAACCGAATTAATAAATAAGATCCTTCAGTAGCTAAAGTTGAAGAACATATTAAAGCTGATACAAAAGAAAGTGCTATGGCAGCAGGCAGTCAACGAGAGGAAGGAATTGCAATTCCTTTAAATATTGCGGCTAATATTAGTAAACTTCCAGTTAAAATATATTGAAATCATTTTTTATTATATCTGAATAACAAACATAATTCCATTCCCCATAATATAATCATCGTCTTCACTTTTTGTTATCTTTACTTGTGTTTTCATTTTCATTGTCTTCTGAGTCCTGTTGATTATGACGACTATTCTCGGTGTCAGCATCGTTGCTTTCGTTTGATTTTTCCTTCTCATCACTCTGTTGTTGTTTGTCTTGCTTCTCATTTTCCTTACTTTTGTTGTCAATGTTTTTTTCGGAGTTATCACTCTTATCATCGTTATCATCACTTTCATTATCTTTTGCTTCCTGTTCATTTTCACCGTTCTCATTATCTTCTTCTTTTTCAGCAGTGTTACTTTCTATGTTCTCGTGGTCTTCTAAATACCGTTGGCCATCCTGAACGTTCTTGATGTCACTCTCGCCGTTTTTGTTTGTTTGTTGTTCCTGATCGCCTTCTCTTTGCTCGTCGTTCTTTTCAGCGTCATTATCTTCGCTGCTATTGTTTTCTTCGGAGTTAGCACTCTGATCATCGTCATTCTCACTTTCATTGTCATTTGATTCTTGTTCATTCGCATCGTTCTCATTGCCTTCTTCTTTTTCG